GTAAATTCATCTACGCCAAATCCACGGAGAGGAGTGAACGATTGTGCCGTAGTCTTTTCAGAGGGAGTTTACCGGTAAGACTTAATCAGGTAAATATTTTTTCTTTTACCTTCCAAAAATGCAACCATAATAATTGGCAAAGTTTGATATGCCTTCCTTTTAAAGGGGCACCTGTCCAGACAGCGCTCATAGACACGAACACGCGCACAAATAAAAACTGCGAGACGCTTCTTCCTGCCACCAAGTTCCTCCGCTACATGCACAAATAGTCAGTGGAAAGAATTCAGAATCTGAGAATGTCTTATTCGCCGTATGTATCCAAGCGTCATCCTAAACAATAAAAATTGAACAGTTATTGAAATAAAACAATACAAAAAACTAAGCATATAGTTCTCAAAAATAACATAAACTGAGATAGCCTGATCTCGCTGTGAACAGCACGTCGAGTGTTGGTCTCCAAACAGAGGGCAAACGAAGTCGCAGGAGGTTTATAAATGTTGCCTTTAACCAAAGATTTCGTTAAATTTAGCTAGTCTAATAGTAAGACGCGGTCCTTTTCGAAGAATGGGACAAATTTAAGTTACGGTACACTGACGAAGCCAAGTACGTAACTTATTAATAGCCAAGGCAAAACTGTGTCGTTGTCAGGCCTTCTAAGTTTCACAGTATTTTGTAAAGTCCACTGGCGTTGATATTTTCATGCCGATATAGAACACCTGTTACCAGCCGCTTCACTGTGCTTCTACTCAATTCCTTAGAATTTTACTTAGTTCACTCTAAAGCTAAGAAGAGAAAAAACCTGCAAGTAAAAACCTATGTTTTAAGAACCTGTTAGGCTAAAATTTGTTAGTTAGGATCCCTCTATACAAAAAACTGTTTAGCCTAAAACCCATTTCTAAAATCTTCAAAAATTCTGTAAACTTAGGGCTGTAAGGTAAGTTTACAGTTCAGGATCCTCACCAGCACGTCGAGTGTTGGTCTCCAAACAGACCGTTAGGGGCTTAAGACAGAATTTATACTTGTATAGAGTTTAAACTGTGTGAATTAATAATGATTATGAATAATTAACTTGTTTTGATAAAAAGTAACCGACATTTACCGACAACCGACATGCATTCCTAACTCTGATAACAATTATACTTCTAATTACGAGACAAGTTACAAACATCATTTGATTAGCTAAGACTTTTTACCCTGGTATACAGCACGTCCAAAAAGAGACCTGGTGAATTAAGATTTTTCGGCAGCGAGATGCGAGATGGTAACGGGAAAAAAATGCAGTAAGCCCATATATTAAATTGTTGTAATAACGTCATTGGTGATTATGGAAATAAAGCAGACCTAACAAACAAACTTAATCAATGGGATTTGAAACCAGATATTAGCCCTTTCTCGAATCGGCATCGCGGCAGATGATACGGTTCGTTTATCCGTCCGGTGGTTTTCTGTGAAACTGGGCTATGTCAGACGATTTTTTAGGTCATTAACTATCTGGGAGAAAAGTAGCAATTATAGTTAGATTTCTTTACCTTGGTAACCACTTTTTTCAGTATTAAATGAGCTTTCCATATCGCCTTGTAGATATTGTCATTTATTTACTGAAATGTATCGTGAACGGCGATCATCTGTATCCGTGGTTTATAAAAGAAAGGGAAAAAGTCTAAAAAAGGAAACGGAAATATCAAAGAAAACAGAACAAACAAACAAACTTTATGCCAAAATTTAGATCATCTAGCAAGGTAAACTTAAACTTGAAAAGATAAACCTCCGGTATGAAAAGGGGACCATTCAGTACAAGTACTTGCTACAATCTGGATTGTCGATCAGACAAGATGACACAACGCATTTCATTACCCTTTCCGCATAAAAGATTTCAGTCATCTGCTATATCTGCTGTCGGTTATATTTTTATTTTCTTCAACCCCGCTTTAAACACCCGTCGTCGGTATTATCACGTTTGTAGCTAAACAACCTAACTAAATATTGGACTAGGATATTGCCTCTCGCGTATGCAGGGACCGCTTTGAGGTTTACTTAATGAGAAAAATGTGACAATTCTTTTTTTTTTTTCAATTCCATGATTAATAATAATAATACTAATATTAACAGCAATTTATATCAATCACTTTTAAAATAAAAGCAATTCGTGAGTTCATTTTTTTATAAATTTATATTTTTCTAAGATCAAAGGAGTGAGTAGTAATCAAAGCACCATTCTTTTTTTCAGTTTTTGTGAAGGCGGATATAGAGGTCGATGCTGCAGAACGTGGAAAATAGGATGTGTTTCTCGAGGTAACTACATTTAGTAATACGTAATTTTTCAGTTTTATCAAAACACTGCAAGAGGTCATTTTCTTTCCGTTTTTGTTTTTGTTTTTGTTTTGTTTGTTTGTTTGTTTTTTTAAGGGTCGTGATAGCAAGAATAAATAGCATGAATTTCCAGCGCAATTTTGCATGATTAAGTTTAACAAAATATATGTCGGCAATGAGACTGTAGTAGACGTGTTGATGTTTTCTTCAAAGAATGCTTCTTTGAGTCTCCTCGAAACATGTATGATGACTTCTTAAACCGCCTACTTGAAGAATTTGAACGTATTGAAAAATATAAATTGTAACATATTAATAACTCTTCCTCCATGTGGTAAAATACTTGACTGTGGAAAAGAATGAAAAGTTTACCGAAGCCGAGGCATCTAAATAGGCCGGTGCCGGTAACAAATGGAATTTAACTCTTTTCGCACGGCTAGGGTCGTTTTCATCCCCATATGGAACGATGTATACATTCCTCTCTGGACCCTTTTAGCTTTCAGTTTTAGTAAATAAATTGGTAAGCAAAAACGTCACCAAAGATAGATCTTTCCAGCGATCCCTCGTTTTGGATATTCTGACCAATCCTGACGAGTTACGCTCACAAAAAAGGTAACATTTTGGGGAAAAATCCACTGTCAATTTCGCTGTTTAAATATCTACATACTACTCTTTGAAAATTAAATTTGTCCCTTTCCTAAAACGTTAGCCAGCCACAATTCCATGCAAACGAAAGACGATAAAGTGGGCAACCAAACTGCAAATAAAGAAAAAAAGGCAAAGGAAAAAAAGAGAGCGAAAGAGAAAGATCGAAATAGATTCGTAAAACAAAACAAACAAAAAAAACATTCAAATCTTGGCCTTTGCGCGTGCGTGAATAACAAAAACAGTGTTTATTAAGTCAGATTAGTCGGAAGATATGCCTTTTTTCTTGCAAAACTCATTTTTAGCCATTCTTATGCTGACTAGCCGAAAACCAGTCAAAAGAAGACGAACTGATGAAAAATGCGGGGTTTTTTTTGCTACTCGCCGGCAGTCATAAAAGGGTTAAAGAAAGTTACCAATTTGTTTCAAATTGGCCTTTATCCACGTAAAACAATCAAATTTGCCAAATTCAGCAAGAAACAGGTTTGCAACGTGAAAAAGAAGCAATTGCGATGTTTTAAATTCGTGAGGAACAAGGCAAGTGACCGCATCAAAGTGTTAATTGCTTATATGCTGCACTTCGTAAGGGGAATTAAAAATTTTTATAAATATTTTGTACAATACTAAGAATGTCCTTTTATTTCACTCGGGTTATATCTTTTAAAACAGCTGCAAAAGCATTGAAGACACGGCACTGATACTTCGGTCCCGTTAGATAAAGAAAGTGGCTCTGTCCTTACATCATTTAGCGCAGCAACTTTGCTCGTCCAGCTAGCCGTCCCTTGCGGGGAACTGGACACTCGCCTGGTGGTAAATTACTGTGGCCCACAGTACACTGTTTTCAGTATAATGTAATGTGTAACTCCCTCAAAGCGGACTGAGGGGTATCACTGTTGAACAGTTTTATAAGTGTTCGCTGATTTTATGGGTCTGGAAAATCTGCGTGCCAGCGAGCCACGCGACAGCGAGCCATGCTTCCGCGAGCCATGCGACTCGTGCGAGCCATGGGAAGAATGAAGTCTTCATAAATGAAAAATGTTTCCTGCTTAGTTTCCTATGGGTACTGATGTAAGTTGGTTGCTGCAGCTAAAATATTTGTAGAATTAAGCAGTCTTTGTCAAATTTCAGTTAATAGGGTTAATACCGCTTTAAAGGTTAAGTGCTGACTAGGGCTAAACACTTATTCGTAACGATTAGCATTCTGTGGCTATATGGCCGCTAACCGGTCAAGGCGTTGAAAACACTAAACAAATGACTAAATGACTGTCAGTCTTATATTCTCGGTAAATTTCACAAAATCGAAAAATTCCAGCTAACCTAAACTATTATATGTCGATTAAGAAAAGTCAACGGATCCTGAAATGCTTGATAGATCTCAAGAATAGCGTTTGGTTTTACGATGGGCTCAGAAGACGAAAGAGAGAATATAGGGACTGCCGTAGCCCACGTTGCAGCCGGCCGACGCACTTGTCTAAACCATTTGTATAGCTCTATATTAAGGTTTAGAGCGTCTGCGACGCAGGCTAGGACTGCCGGTCATTTAGTGTTTTCAACACCTTGACTGGCAGTCAAGCTGAAAAAAATTGTGTCACAAAACATGGTTTCGCTTTCTGAGCCCAACGTAAACCAAACGCTATTTTTGCTCAGAGATCTATAAAGCATTTCAGGATCACTTGACTTTTAATCGACATATGATAGTCTGGTTTAGCTGGATTTTTTCGGTTTGTGAAATTTACTGAGAATATCGGACTGCCGGTCATTTAGTGTTTTGAAAACCTTGACCGGTTACTGGCCACATAGCCACAGCGTTTCTGTATTACTGTATTTTGATTTTTTTCGTAATTTTTTCCCATTCCTGACATGGCTCGCACTGTGTCCTAAAAAAGTTTGGACCATCTTTATACCACTAGAGCCTGGATTCGTTCTTGTAAACACCTATAAGTAGTACTGTATTCAATGAATTGAAAAAAGCTAAACGGACACAACGACCAGAAGGCCTCTACTGCAAAAAAAAAAAAAAAGTAAATCTGAACCTACCTTCTTTCGTTTTCAGATTTCTTTTGGGTATTATCCTGATTATTGCCACTTTTGAATTGCGCCAAGCAGCGTCCTCTGCTATGTCCGCTAAACAAACGTTGGACGCATTTAAGCTAACAGATGGCTGCGACGCCCTCAAGGACCGGCTGCGATGTTTCCAGCATAAATATCGCACAATTGATGGAACATGCAACAATCTGTGTCGCATAAACCAAGGAGCTGCTTTCACTCCGCTGCGGCGTGTTCTTCCAAGTGAGTACGCTGCTGAAGAGCAACCTCGCAACGAATCAGTAACAGGCCATCCCCTTCCAAATACAAGGCGAGTAAGCAGGAGGATATTTCAAGGCTTAAATGGTGATGAATTTGGCAACCGACCAATTTTTACTCACGTGACAATGACCTGGGGTCAATTCATAGATCATGACGTCACTCTGACAGAGCTGACACCAAATATAGAGTGCGGAAATAATACAGCACCGTGCAGTAACACTGAGAACGGATGCATTGTAATCTCACTGGATGATCTGAATTATAAAGAGAGATTAGAGTTCAACCGCAGCGCAAATTGTATTCCTCTCAGAAGGTCCTTCAGAAAAAACGGTGAACAGGTAGGCTATAAGGGAGCTGTCAGTGAAAACAATATACGTGGCTAGTAGCTGATGATGACTTAATTTAAGTATTGGTGTTGGTTTTGAATCATAAAATCGTAAAAGAGAGTGCATGAACAGAGATCTGCGTCTTTCAGGACACAGCTGCCTCAAATACAATCATTATTCTGTTTATCAGATTGGAGTAAACAGCACAAAAGCAAACTGACTAGATAAAGATTTAGTTATGTGTTACTGCCACTGTTACTGTACAAACGATTTCGTCAGTCTCCATGATTAAAATGTGGTCTTTGAAACACGATTTTACTTGAAATTATCGCGTTGAAACTGCGTAAACGTTGACAATTCTGCTTGCCGAATCTATTGGGCTGATCATGTGATGCCTGAGATGCTGGTACATGTACCACTGTGCGTACGTTGCTACAATGAGTAAATAAACTTATTATAAACTAGTAATAGTTGACACTACAGCTGCCCCCGTTCTGTATATTGTCGGTCAATAGTATTCTTGCTGGTTTTGTAGCTCTTTAAAATATACCGATTCATAGTGAAGATTTTCACACATATTCCATACAATAGGTGAGATAAATACAGGAAACGCAAGGTTCCATGCTCAGTTTCAGTTCGATTTACACAGCTTTGATCAAAACATTCTCAGTTTCGAGCATAGTTTATTCTAAACCATAGGAAAAGATTTAATTAGAAGTTGAATTTTTCGCTATTTCTCCTTCCCTTTTTACATTCAGTTCATTTTATTTGCCGGAAAGTAAGTCTTAGAAATTAAAAGGACGTTTGATCGATTCACGCTCACGCATTCTAGTCTTATTTGAAACTTTTTTATAACGGAAGGACATCTGTGAGCAGGGAATAAGTCAGCACAGAATTTGATTGTCGGCGAATTTCTGTAAATGTCCGTCAATCTGCTAGTGATAAGCTAGCCGTTGTTCACTCATCTTGCTTGTTTGGGGCTGAGTCTTATTCCGATCAAAGAGAGAGAAAGAGTGTCTGGCAAGGTTTCCAATATAAATCAAAGATTTGTGAACTCGTGTCTGGCAAACTCTCTCCAAGTGTTTATATATACACAGTTAAACGCAGCCACCTTATAACCTCTCCTGCGCTTAACGAGTGTCTTTTGGTCCATAATTTTCAAAACAACTGCTCCATAGAATGTCACTGCGTAACGCAAAAGAGTATCGAAGTATGACTGCACTGAGCAAATCGAGATTTTTTCTAGTATACTGACTGTATATTTGAACTGTAAGTACTGTCCTTAATATACGCGCGAGTTACTAGGGTGCCTCCTCGGGATTTCGCCTCTGGGCGAAATCCCTGCGGGGGCAACAATTATTGGATGAGATTTTTGTGATATTCGGAATAATCGAGGGCGTGATAAGTGTTATCTGCCGAGGCTGATAACACTTACCGAGTCCTCGTATATTCCAGATATCACTAAAACCCAACCCAATAATTGCATTATTATATATCATTTTGAAGACTAGACACCAGAAGGTGTATACTGGGCTGCCATAAAACCTAGACTAGACAGAAATTATGTATTGTACGAAAACGACAAGTTTACCACAACAGACAGCTGACAGCGTATGAAAGGAAGAAGTGACTCTGCTAAACCCATTCCCATGCCGGACACCACCCCAACCCACGGGTCTCATTAAACTGTTTGACTGAAACTATAAATAAATGAAAATGATAATTGATGGTCTATACAAAGCAAGCTTAAGGTGGGTGTACCGTGTGGCACGAAATTTTTGCGGTTGTTTATTTTTGCGGATTGGGCATTTTTTCTGTTTCGCGGAAAGTAATTTTTGCGACTAGGTGTTACGAAGCAAGAGTGTAGGGTGTTTGTGAGATGGCGTGATTTTACTCCTTTTAAACTTTGTTATTTTTAAATTAACAACATAACTGAGCGAAAGAGAACTTGCTGACAGATCGGATTAAAACCTAAAGCTTATAGATTCAAGAAAGTCACGATTTCGTGTAGTGTGTGAGCGAGCCACTGTAACGTGAGGACTGAAGCTGTGAAATAAACCCTGTTTTTGCTTAAAACTGTGATATCGTGAAGAACGGCCGTACGGCATTCACGACACTAGGACACACTGGTTTTTCTTGCTGAGAATTAGTTTTCAAAAAGTACCCACTACCCAGCATTGATAATATTTTCGTTCTTGTTAAAGGGGCTGTGTCACGACAGTCCAGTTCATTTTGCCGGTTTAATTTTGCCAATTACTCGCCCTCAATTGCTATGGAACTTAGGTAAGCAAAGAAATTACATGTAAAAATCAGAGATTCAAGACAAACAAATATGTCTCCTGAGCATTATTTTTGAGGTTGTATACAGCAGAGATACACTTTGAAAAACTGTTAGGCTGAACAGTTTTCAAAAACCCTAATTTCAATCCGTTTCAATCTTCTTCAGGTTTGCCCATCCCTGGCATCTGTTGTATCTGTTGTGTTATTTTAATCTTCCTTCAATATTTTAATTGGTTATTTTTTTGTTTCTCTTAATTTAACAGGAATTTTGTAATGACCTCATTTGGCTGAGTTTCGTGACACAGCTCCTTAAGTACGTGCAATCAGGGTGTAATAGGTATACAGATTTTCAAACAGTACTAGAGTATGCGTACGTTATGTAAAACCAATTCATTGTGTACCGTTTTGTTTCTGAATTGAAGAGGCGAGTATATTTAATACGCTGGAGTAAATTTTTGCGGGAAAATGTTTTCGTTTTTTTTTGTTTTGTTTTGGGGGGGGAGGGGGTGATCGCTGGAAAAGTCGCAAAAATCGTGAAAATTAGAACCCGCAAAAATTTCGTGCCACACGGTATCTCTAGTTTATCTGAACTTTTTTCGTTTTGTTGACAGCTTGTCTCTATATCTGAGGAAAACAATAAAAAAAATCGTCCCGTTCGTAGGAAAAAAGCTTCAGCGCATCTGAAATTTTCTTTAATCGCGTGCAATACCATTGAGCTGTAGTTAGAGCGGCGCCCTGAGTTAAATTGTCTAAACTAAACCAAACTGGTTCGACATGAATAGAGTTTTTAAGCGAAGAAAACCTTTTTTTCTCAGTTTGTTATCAGTAGTATTTTTATACACTGCCAACCGACCAGATGAAAATGAACTCATTCAACTTTTTGAACTATCATAGAAGGGACATCTGTACACAGGCTAGCGTGTGCATAAGATAAGAGTGTTCATTCCGGAGGTCATATATAGCGCCAGGAATGGGCTCCTGGTGGCGCTTTTTATCCTGGGGGGTACTCCACATAATGACCTATATGGGGAGGCTCCACGCGAAAGGGGTACCTTTTTAGGCTTCAGGTATACAAAAGAGTAGAGATTTCACTAGCTGAAGCATATGAAAGGGTAGGAAAATGCGTCTTTTCGGTCAGTTAAAAGGCCCAAAAGGACTAGGATCACGACCACGTTGTTGTTGTTTATCATACTTTGCATAGCATATATCTTCGTTCACCTTTACTGTTACCTCGGAATCGTTGTAAACATTTCCGGTCAATTGATTTGTTTTATACATATTGAAATAACAACAGCCTCTGTATAAACATCTACATGCGGTATTAGAAGATTGATCACTAAATACGCGATTACAATAATTGCATAAATGATGATAAAAACAAAGAAAGATAAAATCAATGAAATCAAAAATTAAATGTAAAAGCACTGGGAATATTGTTACCTAAGAGCTGGCTTTTGAAGTACTGAATTCTTCCATAAGGCTGTTGTGTTGATCAAAAACACTGTTGAATTTCACTGAACCATTTGCTCGTAATGTTTACGTACCAGACAGGTTAAGTTAACAGTTAATTCGGATGATTCTTTTAGCGCTTCTAACTAAGTAGGTAGCTCACTTGTTGTACAAGGTTTCCTGATAGAGACTCACTCGGAAGAGTTCGCTTGTAAATGGGTCTCTCGCATAGTATAGTTCATGAACTATACCACTTCGAAAATGTTCTCTTGCCATCTTTTACTGTGGGCTAACCATCAACAGTTTGTTCATTCGTATGTTTGCATTTGTATGCTTCCACCGAAGATAGATTGCTAATAGCTTTGAGTCGCTTCGAGCTCCTCGGAATGTACTCTGCTGAAGTCCGCTGATCTATTCTACGCATTCTACGCATACACTTATATCTTGCGCAAGCGCTGAACACGCCAGAGTGCGATTTGTGCCAGAAGGAAAAACCAATCCCATTTTATAACTAGGCTTGCCACAGGCAGCCCAGTAAAAATGAAGACAAACACACCACCGCGCGAAACACAGTTTGACATTGCTCTTGGAAATCATGCATTGCGCGCAACCTACAGATTAGTCACCAATCTGCTAGCAGATGACTAACTAATCTGTAAGTTGCACAGATTTCCAAAATTACCTGTAGGCTCCTAGCCAATAAGAAAACAGAGAGTGAGTACAATGTATAAGTAATCTGGACGCTGAAACCTTGAAAAAAAAGTGCACTTTTGATCAGGCAAATATTCGACCTCAGTGCGGACTGAGTATTCTCTGTTTTCACTGTCACGCCATCAAAAATGAAAATCGAAACCATTCAATACAGAAAGTCCAGAATCTATAAGGAAATAGAAGAAGATCAATATGCAAAAAGCCTCGCTAAGAAAGTCAGGGCTGTGCGATATTTCATGTGCGAGATATTCGGAAAAATGTTTTACCCAAACTCTTGGAGACGCCATGCTGGTGTCTCTTTGAAGGACACAGATGTGGTGGCCGAAAACCAACAGAAACATCTGTCTTGAGTTTTGCTACAAAAGCGTGAATTCACCGATTGAGGATTCTGAAATGAAACAAGGAAGTGCAACTAAATAGCAAAGGAAGTTTAAAGGAAGTCTGAATAGCAAAATCTGGGGAAAAAAAACCGGTAACATTTTCAACCTACATGAGAGCTGTTCCGGCCGCCATTTAAATGCCGCTTCAAAAGCTTTGAAATTCAAACGTCCTCTAAACGCACAGCGAATAAGCCTTTCGAACCTATCATCTGTATAAATAAAAGTATCAGTAGCTTCTGTAATACCACATGGAAGTAAACGCTCAGAATAATCGATATTTTTTTAGTTTGAATTTTGGCGACATCATGTGAAAACCGTGAAGAATTCTTTCCGTTTGCCAGGTCAAAAGAGGTGTTTTTTTATACGACGAGGGTGCGAAAGAAATAATCACCTTCAGTTTGATGCTCCTTCCTCTCTGCTGAAATATGGGCCTGTTTACATGGAGGTGGGCGGCCCCAGGTAGGTGAGGTTACCCGTTTAGGTGGGTTACCCGCCTGTCCATGTAATCTCTCATTTGAAGTTGATCACGTTTACATGTTAGGTGGGGTGACCCGCCACATGTTAATCTCACCTTTCTGGGAAGCCCCACCTCCATGTAAACAGGCCCTAAGACGTCATCGCCGAATGGCTCCTGGCATCATCTATTTTAGCATTGCGTATCAAGAAGTGGTCTATTGTACCGGATCAAATTCTTCAAAATAATAGGCTTTTGCCCTAGGTGTTGCTGCCGAAACCACACCGAACAGATTAGCATAATGTTAAATTTCGACGTGACAACGTTAACGTGTTAGGGGTTGGAGACACAACAATTACGTCAATCACCTGGCTGCGCGTGGGTGCAGAGTGAAACAAACATGTCGAGCGGAACCCTCCTACACTACTAATTTTGACATTTGACGTTTTGACACGGGAAACGGTTTTCAGAAGTGGACGGGGAGGTGGGTTAATTAAGGAATTTAGAGAGATGCTCACAGGCTCACCCCGTTCTCTCTTCTTACTGTTTTTGCTCTCTCGCTTTTTCACCGCTTGCCCGCTTTTTTGCTCATCTTTACTGATCAATAGCCGGGCACAGCGGGCTACTCCTTTTCAAAAAATGGCGAATCGAAGTTCTTGGCATGTGCTCTTAGTCTACATCGGTTGATAAGCAAGGTGTTTAAAACGACGACGTCGTCCAAGTAAATATACCTTGATGATCCACGTAGAAGTAAACCGTGCGGTCATGGGAACAACAGACAAACAATTACCTTCGCGTCAGCTAAGGCGTGAGCTAAAAACAGATTTCATATGATTATCATGAGGCAAAGGGATTCACTCCCTTCTCTCATTCTCTCTTGTGGAGGAGTAGTAGCTCTTTGAAAATTTGAGATTTCAACTTAAACATAATCACCTGTGATTAACCGGTCTGTCACAGTAGGTCGTGTTATTGTCGTTGCTTCAAACAATGAACAATCCTGGCCTTGGTTGCTCAAACGTTAGATAGAGCTATCCACCAGATAAATCACTATCTAACGGAAAGGCAGGGGCACCCAACGGTAAATTTTGAGAAAAAGACGTAAAAACAACAACAAAGGATGAAACTGAGCCTTCTGAAGCCATTTTGAGCATTTTGGGAGATTGCTGGGAAACATTTATCTGTTCTTCACTCCCAGCAAGAATGATGGATGAGTTCCCACCTGACTTACTAGAAAGTTTCCCAGCAGACGTATGTCCAGACATCACTGGCCAGTTTGGGTGTGGTCAAGAGCCATAATGGCTCTTGGTGTGGTTATAGGGCAAAATTCAGTCCTTCAGGGGAAGGGAGGGGCCGGTAGGAAATTGGTGTGGTCTTAGGGTGAAATTAACCCAATCAGTGAGGGAGGGGGGAGGAGTGGAAGAGGTTCCTGACAAATAGGGAATCCCGTGGATAGCGTTATCCACCTATTGAACAACTGGGGCCTGGTCTTTTGTAATCAGCCGGGATACTGATCCTTAGAGAATGCTATTAGATGCTTCCATTTTATAAGTCCTTGACACTATCCTTTGTGTTAGATAAACGAGATAACAGCCTACATTGATGCTTCACAAGTGTACGGCTCAGATGATGCTTTGGCACAGAGGCTTCGAGATAAAGAAACAAAGCTGGGATTGTTGGATGTGAGACCTTACATAAACTCCGATGGCGAACCGATTCTTCCGGAAGCTGAAGAGGAAGCTTTCTGCAGATCAACAGATACTGAAGCAAGTCCTTGCTTTCTTGCTGGCGATATTCGAGTGAACGAAAATCACGGTAATTGATTGGTTTATTTATTTATCTAGTTTTTATTTATATTTAATTATTCAAGTTCAAACGAAGAGAACATTCGAGCCGACCAACAACTTATTGTTAACAAAAATAATACATAAAAACAAACATAAAGCTTAAACCTTGAAGTTAGTCAGGATAGGAACAAAGAAAATATATCTTACAACTGATATAGAACTAATCGATCGTATTTAGGGAGAAAATGAGCCAAGACTTACTTGCGCTTTTGAAGACCTAGAGTAAAAAGGTGCTGTCATAGGGATGTTAGTCACGCCGTGTTGGTTATTACTAGTTTTTAAATGTTTTCTTGTTAAATAGGTTATAATCAATAAGTTTCCATTTAATTTATTTCCACTGTTTTCAGTGTTAAACCAGTTAAAGGCCCATTGCCAAAGTTAATGCAACGCGATCGTTAGTTTTTGTTTTAAAATCGCACCTTTATAAATGGTGCGCTCTGATTGGTCAACTCTTTGGTAGGCTTTCTCGCAACTGAAAACACAAAATAGTCAGAGCTAGTCAGCTGGCGTTGTGTGTTTCCTCATCTGCCAAATGGACAGTTCGCCTGCAAGTCAGTAAATGATTTCTCATGGACGTGAATGAGTCCATTGATATTTCTCAAATTTACCTAAAAGAAACGCGTACGGCTCCATTAGATGCCGAGGGAAAATGACAAAATATACACGTCCATTCAAGTTTATGATTGTCAGCCGTTGTGAAGATGCAAGGAACTGTTTTTATTTTTCACATCTCTGCCATTGGCAATAGCTTTTAATTGGTATTTTAAACAGGCAAAGTTTATTGATCGTATTCCAGTGCACGGCTACCAAAAGCGTTTGAAAGTTCACAACATAATAACTTGTTCGAGTCTTGTTCGGGAAATTTGTTGAATATGCCTTAGTCGTGGATAAAACTTGTAACGATATAAATCGAATGTTATGAAAGTATGGAGGGCTGTTAAGCAGAAAATGTAACGTGAAAATTCATGAGGTGATGGTAAACAACGCTTACAAGATTTACTTATTTTTTGACAGGTCCGACGCAAACGGCTCGGGTGAAAGTGTTTTGGAACACTAGCGCGCCTGACAATAGTTTTGAAGGGATAGCTCGAGCGGTTCGAATAGATGACAATTTTCTTCGAACGGATATTCTGTCTGCGAGCCTTTCGAACGGATAACAATTTTGTGCGAACGGACAGCCTGAGTAGTTGAAGGAATGACATTTCTTTTTCAAACGGATAGCTAGAGCCATTCGAACGGATGACAATTTTTTCGCGAACGGATACCAAATCAGTTGGAAAAGCCTTTCACAACTACTGTATCAGTAATTTCGTGTAACACGAAATTCGCCGGATTTGTTCACTTTTATATGTTTATCCGTAATTCAAGACACGATTCATTCACATATTAAATTCAACAAGAATAATTTTGTAAAAAGTGATGTTCCTTTTGGATCCACGGATATTCAAAATTAATCAAAAGATCTTTGTTTTAAAAGCAAATTTGAGCAATTAAGACAAAGTTTTATGGCAAACGCCATTTTTTAAAGCTATCAGCTGCAATTTTTTTGACTACAGTATGTAGTATTGTACCTATGGGATAATTATCTTCCGGAGTAATTATTTTGAGTTTAGAACTCAAAGAAGTCGTGTCTCAAACTCATTTTTATCCAATAACTTAATATATTGCATAAAAGAAAATGTTCCACTTTTTTTTTCCTTTTTTACAGCTTTGATGGCGATGCATACAATTTGGGTACGTGAGCACAATCGTATAGCGAATTTTCTGCACTTGTTAAATCCTCATTGGGGTGACGAAAGGCTATATCAAGAGGCGCGTAAGATTGTTGGAGCTGAGATTCAACACATCACCTATAATGAGTGGCTTGCAGTTATTTTCCCAAGTGAAGACCTGGTAAGAACTTGGATGCGTAAGAGATAATTGCTTATTTATGAAAGCATTTATTCGCGATAGCTTACATTTTAGGGAAGGGAGGGGGTAAAGAAATAAATAAAACAGTAAATACTAAAATAAATAAGCAAAAACATAATCTAAATTGGTCCAACAACGGTAGCTTATTCTCGCAAGTCACTAAGGAGACGACTTTGTCGGAAGAAACGAAGACAAGCATTCCGAACAAAGAGAAAAACCTCCGGCCATAACAAATTTGGATCGTGTGAGGGAATCCGGTTTGCGGAATCCGAGAAATTTTTGCTTATACATGTAGAGGCCGGAATACAACAAGACTGAAATCCAGTACTTGGAATCCATATTCCAATATTGTCTCGGCCCTCACAAGACTCAAACAAACATTTTACAATAACTGACTTACACTTTTTTTTAGTTTGCTTTTTTTATTATTAATTGTTTGTCGTTTAGTTTTAATTAGTTTCATGCACGAATCCCTTCTTACTACGAATCCCTTTCTTGCCTCTTGTTTGGAACTGCATAAAAAATTCAAACAGAAAAAGAAACCTACAAAAAAGCACTTTATTTCCAAATGTGAGCAGAAACGATTTGCCAGATATCGTATCGTTCGGTGTCAAAATCCGATTGAGGTAAATATACATAATGACCTTTTAAGGTAGGAAAATTTGTTCAAGACAACAATTCTGAAAGTCAAGTTTATTCAAGTTAACTTCCGAAAGTTTTCTGGAAAATCTGTGTTTGTCTAAGAAAAGTTGCCCGGCTTTTTAGTCAATTGAGCTGCATAGTTATATCATGATATTCAGTATAATTATATCATTCGCAAGTCTCGACACGTGACATCCTCAAACGCATTCCTCCTTGCTCTTTCCCACCTCATACAATCAAGCCGTCTCACAGGATCCCATCGGCTGAACAGACCCTAGGCAAATTGAGTTGAACGTAGTATCTTGAACATATCGTTGAACATACCTTTCCGCTGCCCAGTGACCGAGCCGAAGCACGGCCGATTTCTAGTGGCGGGTTTTAGGATTTAGTCTCGTATCCTCTTTTAGTTCACTTAGGAGACTTCGTCAGATTTCAAGTTTTTTTGACCATGCTGGCGACTTAAATGGAACTCGAACCCAGGCCACTTTGGTTGGAGGTAACAGAGAATTATTGCGCTATTCCCGGGCTGCACCTCCAATCATCGCCAGCTTAATTCACGTGCACACTCACTTCAAGTCAGTGTTCAAGTAATAAGGAGGTTATGTTATCCAATTAATTATAAAGTTTAACCGTCTTTCTTGAATGTTTTAAGCTTATTGAGGTTAAAGAGGGGCATAGTCAAGTATTCTCAGTTAGACATGACTCTGGTGGAGTAAACCTTTTCTGCTCTAAAGGGACACAGTCAGCAATGGGACCGCGCTGACCTTGACACTACTTTTGCCAGTTTGAAAAGCGTTTACCTCAACCCGAAATCAAATGTACTCGTCGGATACATCTAAAAATCCGCTTCAATCTTGCTTAGAGTTTTATTCGATCCTCGATCTTTTACAAAAAACCTCGTTTTGAGCAAACTTTTACTCATCCTATGACATTATTTTATCATATTTAGTTAAAAACAGTATCCAAAGGAACATGAACAGAAGAGGTGGGAAACGCGTAGGTGCCGGGTGGGAGAAATCGCTTTCGTTTACCAAAATAACTAAAGAAATGAATCAATAACACTGGCGAGCAAATAACAGTTATATATATTTAGAAAATCGTTGGAAAAGGTTACAGGTGTTAGGAAAATCAAGCTTTCTCGACCTTGAACCTTCGACAATAATCCATGCAGACTCCGTCAGTACTCCGTGTCATTTCTCACCTCTACTGATGATCGAATTCAGAAGTCTTCGTCCAAGTTTGGCTTTCCCTGGACAAATCCATCGGTAAATTCCCAATAATATATATATAAATGAGTGCTCTGATATGGCATAGGGTCTATAATTACGATTTGGGTTTTTAACAAGTTTAACGCTACAAGTTTTGTGTAGTGTATTCTAGATGCGCTTCTCACTTTCTGTTTCTGTCTTGTGATATGCAAATCAGCTAAGAAATGTTTTGAAATGCGCATGTGCATCAGCTACCTGTGTCCCTTTAAACCAGGGCGGATAAAGGTTGGGCGGTGAAACGAGCGCGTCCGAGCAAAAAGGTGTGATGCAGTGGACTGGTGCTCTGCTTAGAAATGTCGCCTGTTTTCGACTTCGGTCAGGGCTTGCGATGTGGTTTGTACATTACACACTGCCGCTGTCATTGAATTATGGCGGCTTGATTTGTTTTCTTGCACTTCTTCCTCGTTCCTTTGTGCTGGTACGCTGTCTCCGAGAGGCAAATGTTGCTATTTTTTGCGGGAAGTTTAGTTGGAGTAGACAAACATCTCTTTGAAATGGTTTTTTTTATTACTTCCATGACTCTACCACTGAATTATATTTTCGTTCTGCTACTCGCCAATGTCGATGTTATTCCAAAACAAAAACAACTAAGTACTGTCTAAAACACGAAGGAAAATCTCATCCATGGCAAAACTAAAAGACAGCAGATCGTGTTTCACTGTCTAGATGACGTGTATTTTATAAATGCGTGCAGCTCGTGCAAGGTGAAATTATGCTAATTTCAATCACCATCATCCTTCTTTTTAATTTTGAAAAAAACATCTCATACGTCTTTCTGTTTCTTCGAAACTTCAAAATTAGTTTCCCCTCAGTTTTTATTGTTTACCTTGTTTTGTTTTAGAGAGAAAAACGGAGAAAAAACCTTAAAACTAACCTCAATAAATTTTGTTTACATGCGGTTGCCGGATTTGCAACGCATTGCGCTAATCGCCATGGAGCGTTGCACCCGAGAAGCAAAGTTTGAAGAAGTACAACGCCACTATATCAGTATATATCAATCTAATTTTTTGTTATGTTATATAAAATTTATCCCCCTTTAACATATGTAAAAATTGAGGTTAAGAAGTGTTAAGCTTTTGCAAACGAAGCGGCGAAAGACGATTAGGTGTTATTTAGTGGAAGGAGGAGGTATTCAACACTTTCACATTAAACTCAAATTTTGGCATTATACGACCAACAAGTTTGACTTATAGACGAACAGACACAAACATATGAAACTGTTTATTGATATTGTTATGAAACGAATTTATCTATTTAACATTGTAGCCTGAAATTACAGAAAGAAAATGGGATTTCTGGTTTGCAAAGAGGAAAATTTCGCCGGCCCTTGAAGCGCACCGGAAGCGCGTAAAGAGCGCTCGTGCCAGTCCTACTCCGCATCACACATTAAATGAAGAGCGGAGCGCTCGTTTCACCGCCCAACCTTTATCCGCCCTGCTTTAAACTTACTTGTAGCCGTTAATGAAAAACAACCGAAACTGACCTTCCACATAATTCCTGTCCATAATTCTTTTTCAGAGAGAGAAACTAGGGCTTTTATTGGAGCCTAAAGGGAAATTCTTCAAAGGATACAATGTGTCAGTTGATGCACAGTGTACCAACGCCTTCTCCACAGCTGCTCTTAGAATGGGCCATTCTTTGATCCGCGATACTTTCGTTCTTTTGGACACCAACTTTGGCAGTGCAGGATTTGATAAACCTAATAGATTGGAAACCAGAGACTTCTTTAACCCAGATCGATTTTACCAGGCGGGAGACAACGCATATGGCGGAATTTTGCTGGGGCTAATAAGATTTTTTGCTCAAAATGTTGATCGGTAAGCTGAAGGCAATTAATCGTAATAATTTATGAAAATAAACTAGCACTGATCAGGGATTGTTGGGTGCGTCCGCATGTTCGCCACAGCGGAATTTATCTGCGTTTTTAAGTATTTAAGTGTTTGTAAGTATTAAACGATGAAGTAAACACAAGACACCATTAATTATGAAATTTGAAATTTCTCTACCAGGGGCACGAAATGCCTTGTAATCGAGGCTATCACTAGCCCTGTATGACATATTTTTTCTTCTGGCCGACAATTAACTATACTATGATTTCCCAAAATATGCAATTCGCCAATGTTGGATTATATGTTAGAAATCCAGTACCTAATATAGTTTCTTTTTTCTAGTTTCTTTTTTCTTTTTTCTATATATATCTCTATTTGCCACTTTGAGGTTGGCTGGGAGACCAGGTCGAGATGATTGTCAAAGTGCATTGTGGGACTGCTTTGGGGGACGAATTTGCCACCATGTTGAAAATGCGTCCCCCAAAGCAGTCCCACAATGCACTTTGAAACCATCTCGACTCAGTCTCCAGCGCAACCTCAAAGTGGCCAATATGAAAACCTTTTTGAAAATGGGCATACATACATTTAAAAAAAATCGTGTGTTTATCCATTTTTGTGGGTCTTAATAAAGACGTATCGCGTTTCATGATTCATTTTATTTTATTTTTTTGTTTATTTCTTCTCCTTTTAGACGTTTCGTTCGCGCAGTAAGAGAACGCCTGATAATTGAAGGAGAACCTCCTAATGGTATTGTTGGCGATCTAACCGCAATCAACATGATACGCGGAAGAGATCATGGCTTACCAGGCTACGTCAAGTTCCGAGAAGCTTGCGGGGGAAATCCAGCCGTTCGGTTTGATGATATCTGTGATACTATCCCTAGGACTCAAGTAAACAGGCTTAAATCTGCTGGCATTTACAAAAAGGTGCAAGACATTGATCTTTTTGCTGGCGGCATGAGCGAGAAAGCCCAACCAGGAAGTGCGCTTGGTTTCACCTTTACATGCCTTGTAGGTCGGCAATTCAAAGATTTCCGTCATGGCGATCGCTTTTGGTATGAGAGAGATGATCAGAAGACCGGGTTTACCCTCGAACAACTTGACCAAATACGACACTCGAGTCTTGCCAAAGTTATCTGTGATAATACCGATGATGTGCGTCGCATTAATGCGAAGGTTTTTGTACATAGAAACGCACCCCGCGCCAAAAATCCTGTAGTCGACTGCGATGATCTGCCGTTTATGGACTTGACTGTCTTTAAAGAAGGTGAGTACTACTAACATTTTATTGTTCACTATTTCTGTCCTTTACAGCCATTACTTTGGGTCGGAAGAGTTAAGCCGTTTAGACAGTGTTTAAGAGGATTCAACAACGGCCACAAAATCAGTGGATGTGAAATTGCTAAATCTGTAATGGCCAATGATTTCTATTTTTGACGCAAATTGGAAGGATTACGTCAAATTAAACGAGCAAATAAACAAATAAATATAAGAATTGAAAGAGAAAACGGCTTTTGTATGAAGCGAAAGAGAGAGAGAGAGGGTACACGAGCTAGCTTTCAGTGCATCTATTAAATATCACTTGTTAGGTAGTAGATATTAACCCTATTTACTATTTATTATTACTACTATTATTATTCATTCAAAATATTTCCCCGATTCTGATTGACTAAAAGCACACATCGCGCAGAATGCCTATTGTTCTCGGGACATTTACTTCCAGTTAAAAAAAGTTCGTAGATCTGTCATATTACGCGCAATCATATAGAGACTCTATGAAAGCGCTTCAGCCATTGGTTGCCAAGAATGCACGAGGAACCTCATCAATATGTTGTAGGTAACAAACTAAACAATGAACGCAGCACGCTATTGTTTTCTCCTTTAAGCTCTTTTGTTTCGCAAAATGGCGAATATGCGCATATTTCACGGTGAACGTTCAAATCATGAGAATACCTACACTTTGCTTTATTTTGCGGGAATTTTGTTCAAAAGTTAAACCAAAGAAAGAAAGGTGAAATTTTCCATTTATTTTAGTGCGTGCGAGATCTCGATTATGTCGTAAATAACTCGCTGTGAGGTGAGTAAAATTGAGCGCGGAAGCCAGCACTCGTCGCTGATTGTAATGTTTTGCTTCTCCATTCGAAAGATGTTACCTCTTATATTGACCCCCAAAAGTAATTTAACCAAAATGGCGGGTAAGTAAGTTCAGTTTTTGCAATAGATCTTAAATACTTAAGCTCGCTCCATGAAAACAGCGGGTTCCCGGCTCCCGATCCGTGACATTGTTTTTACCATGTTCATTGCAAGATTTGGTCGGCAGGTGCAATGAACCAGCTGACGCAACGCGATCAGTTTAAAAGTTCGCGGCTTCTCTGGACCATTTTACAATAGTAATGAAGTACATGCTGGCCATCACATCCACTTTTCCTCGTTCTATTCATTGTACTGATCAAGCGTATACGCGTGGCATATTGTGTTAATAAACTCTAGTGATTCTTTAATATTAAGTTTAAAGTTCGCGGCACCAGCTAATGACGTACTTCACAAGTGAGGAGTTTTCAATGGCGTATTGTTATATTTGACAGCCATTGTTATTTATACCTGTGCTTAAAACAATAGCTCGCTGGCCTTAGGTACGCTGCGTTTCTACCAGACTTTTTCAAACCCGCAGGGATACTGGTTCTTGTCCATAAATTTTAAAAGTTAAAAAATATTCTGTTTAAGGAAAGAGCAATCTAACTTATTCTATCGGTGGATTTGACGATTTTGTTACAGGTTTCCAGAAAATCACGCTCAAAGTCAGCTTACATACAAAAAATGGCCTCTTTTTAGCAATTTTCAAGTGCAGAGGGATAGTCCTTCTGCTACGAAAAATGCTTATCTTTTGTGCATAAATCGTAGATATATCATTCATTTTCAATATTCCGTCAGTGGATTTGGCATTTTGGAGCTAACGAAGTCGCGCGAATGAGTTTTATCAACGTTGGCGGGCCAAAAGAGGCCCTTTCTTCTCTTATTCAGAACTTATTGAAAGCACTCGTGCGTTCGAATTGGCCGCTTCGGCGGTCATGAATAGCTAATGATGTCCACTCATTCTGCGCGATGACGCATAATTCACATTAATCAGCTACTGATGACCAAATTTGGAAGAATTTTGCGTTTTATGAACCGATGACGTCAAAAGTGCAGCGTTCTTGCAGGTTAATGCACCGTTAACCGGCAAGAACTGGGGACGAGGTTGAATTGTTTTGGTTGTGGAAACAAAAATGGCGGACATTTCACTCGTTTCAAGAGTAAGGACTAGGCGAAATAATAGCTAAAAACATGCAAGAACAGCCAGAAGACAACTCGAAGGGCGACATCTGGTATTTGGAGAATATTTGCGGATTTGAACAGCCCTAAACGTGCACTATCGAAGATGAACTTAACGTCGATGGATCGATGGAGGTAAGAATGTTTTAGGTTTGTTTTTAAACTAGGAATTATTTTGAATGAATAATAAAACAATTATTGAATTCGGCTTTCGTATCATATGAAGAATTGTGGAGATGATAATTTTTCATAAGATACTCAACCTCATTCATTAATTTTTAACTTACTACTATTATCATTATCTTTATTTTTATTTTTTATTTTTTTTAACTTTTGAAAGAAACTTTTGAATTTTAGAGGCTGACAATTTTTTTAACTGAAATGAAATGTTTTTAATTCGAATAACTTTTCTTAGTTAAATTAACTCTTTCTAAGCTAAATTAAGTGCTTTTTAAATCGACAGGAATTGTAAATAGTGTTTTGAATGAATAGTTTTTTCTTTTTTTTCAAGCGAATTAATTGTATTATTATTGTATTACTCTAACACCTTTAGGAGATGGGTAACGTGACTTCTTTATAATTGTAAATCAACTAATAGCAATTATTATTATTATTGTAATTATTATTATTATTATTATTTTTATTATTATTATTATTATTATTATTATTATTATTATTATTATTGCTGTCCTCTTGTTTCTTGTAGAACCTAAGGAGGAGTCGAATGCTGGAGGAGAAGAGGATGGTGCGTTCACTAGTGCTTGAAACGTTTTCCTGATTACTTGGATTTAATCTTAGTTAAAAGTATAGAGCGAAAGTTTCCAACTTTTTGTGGCAGTTCATTTACGGTTCACATCAGGGTTCTGAGTTTTTATCATTATTATTATCATTATTATTATTTTTATTATTTTTATTATTATTATTATTATTATCATTATTATTATTATTATTTTTATTATCATTATTATCATTATTATTATTATTATTACTTTTATTATTATTATTATTATTTTTATTATTATTATTATTATTATTATCATTATTATTATTATTTTTATTTTTATTATTATTATTATCATTATTATTATTATTATTATTTTTATTATTATTATTATTATTATTATTATTATTATTATTATCATTATTATTATTATTATTATTATTGCTGTCCTCTTGTTTCTTGTAGAACCTAAGGAGGAGTCGAATGCTGGAGGAGAAGAGGATGGTGCGTTCACTAGTGCTTGAAACGTTTTCCTGATTACTTGGATTTAATCTTAGTTAAAAGTATAGAGCGAAAGTTTCCAACTTTTTGTGGCAGTTCATTTACGGTTCACATCAGGGTTCTGAGTTTTTATCATTATTATTATCATTTTATTATTATTATTATTTCTATTTGTAGAAATATATCTGGTTTTTTATTTTTTTTGAAAACCGGGCTGCTAAAAAATGTTAGTCTGTCGCACTGATTGGTAATTTAATGTTCCTTTCTACTGGAAAAGTAAAGTCTCACCTCAAAAAGCTAAGAAATTCTTAAATACACGAGCCCTGTGTTTGTGCAACAAGTTGACAGCCACCTTGACAGAAGCCTCCCTCAAAAAAAATAGCTGGCTACGGGCCGGGCTGTTGCCAACCTTTCAACCCTCCATCGATCATTTAATATGCCCCTTTACCAAGATTATTTAGTTTTTTCTTTTGATCGCAAATTTCAAGCCTTCTGAATTTGTTGAGATTTTTTCATTCTGACTTATTTGAATTCACTTTTTTTGAGACTAACATGTTACAACAGAAACAATTACCAGTTTTTTCAGTATTATAAAGCACAGAACTCACAGCTTCTTTAGGCTAATGCCTTCCTATAGCTTGTCACATCAACTTATATTTTAGTTAACACTGACCTTTTGTAACGTTTTATTTTTATTATGTGAGTGACTAAAAACCGTAAAATGGACTATCACATACTCAGGCTATAGATTAAAATTAAACAGCTAGCAAAAAATAATCTTGTTTACAGTGAGTTCCTTTACCTTGGTTACTTATAGAGTAGAGTTAGGCCTAGGGAGGGGGGAGGTACAGGAGAGTAAATCTCCCTCCTCCTCACTCTTTGAGCCAATTTCTCCCTCCTTCATAAACTTAGTTTAAAAATTGGCGGCGCGCAACACACAACTCTTGCACTCAGTCGTAAAGTACGTTTTCTGACCTTCAGAGCTTCGCCTTTACACCAACATACGGCATGAAGATTGCGTAACGACCGTATGTCATGTATACGAATTAGATTAGATTTGTTGTTGTTGTTGTTTTTTATATGGAGAAAAAGCCCTGTGCGGTATTCTGGGGAATTCATGATGGGGGTGTGCCGCCCGGATCTCCAAATTCTGACCCTATTTCAGACCAAAAAATGTCGTTATTCACACCCGTTTTCAGACCTGGCCTTTAAGAAATAGTGTCATCATTGCCGTAATGATTAGGCGCCCCCATTCCAATAAGCGCCTCCATTCTTATGAGCGACCCAGTTCTATTAAGCGCGCCTAACCTAATACATTACAATATTACTAAATAATACATTACAAACGGATGTTTTCGCAGGCTAAAAAATGTACTACAAATGCCCGGGGGATATGGGCACGCTTGGAATTGACACTGAGATCGCGTAATCTTAATTACCCTTTCCTCGTGAAAATGTACATACCATATGACTAGTGGCCTCATTGGAAAACACGTCGGTGTCGTGTTACAGGCAACCCTTTAAAATAATAGTTTTATTAAGACAATACAATACTGAGTTCTGCGAATGCTATAAAAACGTTAAATCTACACTTTTGCTCAAGGAACGAAAAAAAAGACCTGCCTCTGATGTATTCCACTGTGTTTTGGTATTTGTTCGTTGTTTCAATGGATACAAAATTACCTTTTTTTTCGAAACTCGAATCAGCTGTATTTTTTTTCAGCCCCTGCCCAAGAAGGAAACCTCC